CTTGCAGATGACAAAGACAAAGACAAGTTCGAGGATCTACACAAGTCGATATTGGCGTGCGATGAGGTGCTCAAGTCGGTGGAAGCAAACCTGACAAACTTCCAGTCGGATCTCGAGGCCGTGTCTGCAGAGATAGAATCACTCCAGAACCGGTCCATTGCTCTAAACACCAAGCTGGAAAATCGAAAAGTGGTGGAGAAGCTCCTGGGGCCGGCGGTCGAAGATATCAGCATATCACCAGCTGTCGTGCGCAAGATCGCTGAAGGTCCGGTCGACGACGGCTTCGTGCGTGCCCTTGCAGAAGTCGAGAAACGGTCCAAGACAGTCAGCGACAAAGCCAAAGAACATCCAGACTTGATGGCAATAAAGGACGTCAAGCCCCTGCTAGACGATCTCATAAATCGCGCCGTTGAACGAATACGAGACTACATAGTCGCCCAGATCAAGGCCATCCGCTCACCTTCCATCAATGCACAGATCATCCAACAGCAAGCATTTCTAAAATACAAAGACTTGTATTCTTTCCTCGCCAAACACCAGGCAGAGCTTGCACAACAGATAGCGCAGGCATACATATATACCATGCGGTGGTACTACCTCAACCACTTCAGCCGATACCGAACCGCGCTCGAAAAGATTAAAGTGCATGCTATGGACAGGTACGATGTTCTGGGCGAAGATCCCAGTGCGAGAAGAGCTGGAACTCTGCTCGGTCAGTCTCGAAACGCACCAGTTACATACGACGCTTTCTCACTCGGACGACGTCGCGATGCACTCAAGAGCTCCTCTGTCAATGCCTTACCGGCGAACGTTGCCGAGGACGAGAAGTCGCCGCATTACCTAGAGGTCCCTTTCCGCAGCTTTAACCTCGCACTTGTTGACAACGCATGTTTCGAGTACACCTTTATCTCTACATACTTTGCCCCATCACAGAACTTCCACGCCATCTCACGAACCTTCAACTCGATCTTCGAGCCTACGCTAGCAGTCGGCCAAGCGGTTACAAAGTCGCTCGTAGAAGCGACAACAGACACGCTCGGTATACTGCTCTGCGTACGACTTAACCAACACTTCGCATTTGAGCTGCAACGTAGAAAGGTTCCAACAGTAGAAGGCTACATCAACGCAACCAACATGCTACTCTGGCCACGGTTCCAGCAGGTTCTGGACATGCATTGCACCTCGCTCCAGAAAGTCACTGCATCTTTAACCGGCCGGCCTTCGACCGGTGCGGCGTTACTTAGCTCCAGCTCTTCCACAGCTACCTCCACGGCGCCAACACCTCTCACACAAAAGTTTGCAAACCTCCTCCAAGGCATCCTGGCACTCTCTTCGGAAGCAGGCGACGACGAACCAGTCAGCGTATCCGTGGGCAGGTTGAGGAGCGAGTACGGAGCCTATCTCACGAAGCTGAGCAAGGGTATCAGCGATGCACGGAAGAGGGAGAGATTCTTGTGTAACAACTATAGCTTGGTGTGTACGATTTTGGCAGATGTTGAGGGAAAGCTTGGGGAGGAGATGAGGGCACACTTTGAGAAGCTGAGAGATGCTTTCGATAAATGAGATAGCCGAGACAGAATCAATGAACGTCAGCACTGCAGGCTGATGGGCATTCTGGCAATGTCTTCCGTTCTGTACACCCACTTCTCTACTTGACACTCACCCGCATGCGAGCAAGAAAATCAATAGGTGAAAGCAAGCCTGATTATACTTTATCGACTAGATCGTCGTGATATCATTTATTTCATTTCTGTCCAATGCGTGCTCTTTGATCATCGGGTCTTATCGCTAAATAGACAAAGCGCAGCTCAATATTTGGCGCTCTCTAACCCATCAATGGAGCCCAGTCCTTCTTCGCCTGCTCGGTGAAGAAAGGCTTGACGTAGACGCCCTTGCCAAGAGTGAATCCCTTACTCCTCAATAGCATGTACATGGCGTTGAGGTGGAAGTAGCCTAAATAGCAGTGTAAGTAATCAGCCTACATCTCACATGCAGTTCTATCAAGGGCAGTACTAACTGTTGGGAATGACGAAGGCGTTGTAGTACTCGGCCAAGCTAGACATAGTCATAGTCTTGCCCGCAACAGTTACATCGAAGCTCTTTCCAGCGCTCTCGTTGTAAGTCTTCTCGTCAACGGCGTCAAAGACAGCGGCGAACTGCTTGAAGAAGTTGATGATGTCGTCGAGGGACGAGAAGGATGAGGGGTCCAGGTTAGGGGGTGCGACCGATCCGTTGAGCTTCAGGGTCGTGACTCCGTCGAGCGGGAACTTGCCGACGAGGATGGGTTGCATGCGGAGGGGAAGCATGTCGCCGAGCTGGGCGTTGAGAAGGTCCTGGTCGGAAGGCAGTGAGCTGTTCTTTGCCTGCTCTTCCTTGGCTACTGTGAGGAAGCCAACAGCGCTGTTGGCGATGCCTTTGAAGGTGGGCACGGTGGCCTGGTAGAAGGAGGTGGAAGCCATGTTGGTGAGTATGTATGTCGAAGTGGGGTGTGTGTGTTAGAGTAAAGGTGTATACAAATGTATGAGCGAAAATTTGTATAATGTCTGAAGAAAAAGAAAAGGGCGATCGCCCGAGTTTATCTATATACCTGGGTACTCAGGATTCTGGAATGTACCCCTCGATCCGCGCATAACACGTACGTCGGCCCATTGTTTGTCGTTAACCCCGTCCCGATAATCGTGTCTCAGACCCTGTAGACTGCATAGCGCCGTTGAACTGCCGAGTGTGTGGGCTCAGGGCTTCTAGTCTACTGCACCACTGTGGATACAGTAGGCATCGAGATATACATAGTCCTTTTGCAGTGAATGAGGTCAGAACTCTCGGGTCGGACATCGAGCGAACGAGGTCTATGCTGAACGTAAGGGACCTCGAGTCTGAGGCTCAGACATGTAAGTGTAACGCGCCTGCATGTGTCCTGAGGTGGTGAGACCGGAGAGCGGGCCTTTCCGCACTAGTACTGCACAACATTGCCCCGCCTAGTCCAGAGCACAGACCACAAAATTTCTACGTTCGCCGCCGTAAACCTCGGCATGCACGTACAAAACGGAATACTTCACATCCGTCACGGTAATTGCTGACACATCCTTGGTGGATACTATTCCGCTCTCCAGTTGCAGGTCCAGAGAATTAATCATCGAACATGGCCAAGCGGAAACGCAGCGCGAATGCGCAACTGCAGGCTGCAAAGAAGCAGTATCCAAACAGCATTCCAAGTCCACCACAAGATGCGAATCCACTAGAGCCAGCGAGCGTACATTCGGTGATCTCATCTGAAGAGATTGAGGTCGCAATTGAGACATTACAAACGCTATCCGCACATCCACTACTGATCAAGTCAAAAGCGTGCAAAGACCTAAGGACTGCTGTATACGACTTCCGTCAAGCATGTACTACCGGCCTGAACTCAGCTGGTATGTCTGATATCTTGGGTCTCGACATCAAAGACTAAGCGTAAGAATAGATGGCAGTAACCTTACTGCGCGAATATCAGGTGCGCTTACAGACGCCAAGTACACAGAAGCCCTCATCCTGTTGGCAGAGATGCGCATCAGAAAAGACACTCCAACACTGGGTGCTCTTTGCCGGTGGGTGCGTACTCTGGACGTAGTCTCCGGACTGTCCATCCACGTGCAGGTCCCTAGTCATACAGTGGTCGGTACAAACGCTCAAAACGACGAACTGATCGGGGTGCTGGATTCGATATTGCGAGTTACGGGTCCGACAGACACCACAGCTCACGGCACAGATATCGCGTCAGGCATCTCATTACAAGACACCTGGGATCTACGCGGCACCAGCAAGCCCACTCGTCAAGTACGGAAAAGCGTCGAGGACAAGAGCATCTTCAACTCATGCTCTCCCGGCCTCAAGGACCGCTTCCGCATCATCGAAACTACTGCCGGTCTGCAGCGCAAGCCACCAAATCTTCATCCCGCAATCCTCTACGCTTCCCAAGACGACGCTGTGCTGCTCGGCAAAGGACCCAAGACAGAATGCTTCAAGCACCCAATCGTGCCCAACCTCCGACTGATCAAGCACGTACTCTCTCCAGAGGAATGCTCCGCCATCATCGCAGCCGGAGAAACTATAGAGTTCATCCCAGATGCGCCAATGCGTCCTCAAGGTGAAGACACCAGTGTACTGGCACACAACTTTTACTGGATCGTCGACCGAGCATTCCACGACAAGCTCTGGGACAGAGTAAAGGAGTTCGTACCGGACAGCGTGGCTGGCAAGAAAGTCCGCGGTATCAACCGACGATTCAGAGTGTACAGATACGTGCCTGGTGCTGAGTATCGTATGCATATCGGTTCGTAGATTCTAAACAAACCATTATGATTCTTATGCTAACTCTGGCAGATGGCGCTTGGCCACCCTCAGGCATTGATCCAGTCACCGATGCTTACAAGTACGATGCGTCGCCAGCCGACGCGCGCCAGTCCTCTCTCTTCACCTTTCTCATCTACCTCAACGATGAGTTCAAGGGTGGTGAGACGACCTTCTTCGTTCCTAGTGTTAAGGAGGGCGTTATTAACGCTTATCCGGTCAAGCCTATCATGGGCAGTGTTGCGGTATTTCCACACGGCGAGGCGCAAGGAGCGCTACTTCATGAAGGCACGGGGGTTGTTGAGGGTGCGAAGTATGTTATTAGAACGGATGTCGAGTATGATGTTGATAGTACAGCGTGAGCGGCCATGCTGGACGCCGCATAGCTAGCACAGTTGCACATATTCACATAACAGTTGCACCAAAACACCACAAATGTATAATCCAAGAGGGCAAAGACCGTTTTCATGCAGCAGACAGATCCCATGTCGTCATTTCCAGTCATCCAGAACGTGCTATGTAGTCATGCTAACCCACCCCCCAGTCCCAACCCAATATCGTTTCCCCCCAAAGAAAAATGGCCAACCCACATCATGTGTATAGAACATCGTCACAAGAAAAACCCTTGAACCTAGATACCATCAAACGCTTCCCTAATAGAAAAGCACGGAACCCTAATAAGCAACACCACTAACCTTCCTCTGCGTCATCCCACTCCACCCACCGCCTCTCCCCTCCTCAGCGATCTTCCCACTAACATCTCTCCTGCGTCCCGGGGTACCCAGATCCGACTCATCAAACTCATACGGGTTGATGTAATCGACGCCGGAGCGGCTGACGACGCGCGGCGACTGGCCCTGCTTGGGTGTGTAGTTCGCCTCGCCCGTGCGCTTGATGCTCGTGTAACTCTTCTTGTGCAGCGTGAACGGCGAGTTGGTCACGTTGTTGTGCGTGGGGACGGGTGGAGGAGTGTTGACGGCATATTGCTTTGTGGCGCTGGGGAAGTGGTTGGGTTGTTGGCGGAAGGAACCTTTTGTCGGGGAGGGAGAGTTGGAGGCGCTGCGCACGCCTTCGGTCGCGGCTTGCAGGTTGCCGTAGTACCGCGATTTCGGGGTGCCGGAGCGGGAGTGCGAGCGGTCGAATGTCTTTTCGGTGGAGATGGAGGTTGTGGTCTTGGTGCGCTGGAGGCTGGATGGGGGAGGGGAGGCGGCTTTGTAAGGGTCGTAGAAGGTCGCCGTGGCGGGGGGAGATGGCGGGTTCTGGCTGAGGGGGTTCATGCGTAGAGGTTCGGGTGCCTCGGACTCTTCTTCGTAGTCAGATACGTCGTCGTAGGGTGAGACTGTGTTGTAGCCGTTGTTCGCGTTTGAGGGGAACATTGTCTGCTTGGGCGCCGGGTAGTGGTCATGGTGCTCGTCTTCCTCGTCAGGATGCACGAACCAGTTGTCATTCTTGAGGCTTTGCTGGGAGTTGCGCTGGAGAGAGAGATCACCGGTCGCTTCTTGTTTGGAAGAGCGTGCGGTTCCGGGAGGAGTGTGGAAGGATTCCTTCGAGGAGGACGAGGTAACGTGGGATCCGCCACGAGAGTGTCGTTTGATGTTCGCTTGTTGAGAGAGCATAGACTTGCGTTGGGCCAGTGTCTGGTCGTCTTCCTGGTCGTTGAGTAGATCGTCACGGTGGTTGAGCTCTTTGCGGGACTGGTATGCTGAAGGAGGCTGAGAGTACATGGAGAAGCGCTCCCTGGATTGGCGAGCTGAAGCAGGTGTGTGAGGCGAATACGTGGTTTCCGAGTCTGTTCGCGTGTGCATGAATGCGACTTGGTTCTTGGTGGGACTTGGGATGTCGCTGTAAATGTAGGAAGGAGTCTTCGAATCGCGACGGTCTCCGGCAATGGTGCTCTGGTCACTGAACCTCTTCTCTTGGTCTGACGTGAGAGGTGTAATGGCTGAGATTGATGAGTTCTTGTGCTTGTGCTTGGTCTTTCTGCGCGAAGTCAGGTTGTCCTCAAGCGGGTTCATGTCCGGCGGCAGCTTTGAGATCTTCCTGAAGAGGATAGCCAAGTACAGATCAATGGCGGTTGAGAGGACGTGGAGGCCGCCGGTAGCAATTGCGGTGATCCATGTTGTCAACAGGACTATGTTCGTCTCATTGTCTGTAGGGAACATGGTGCGCCACCGCCCAAGTGTTCCGGCATCCATATCGGAGTTGCGACGAGCCATGAGGACGGTGAAGACATAGAACGGGATAAAGCCGGCGTCGGTAACGAGAGCAAAGAAGTGGTAGCTGGCGGAGCTTCCGGCTGGTCGCGTCTTGGGATTACGGACTAGATGGTATATGGCGTATAGACAAACGATGAGGTCCACACCGGGCTGTTTGTGTTAGCGAAGTCTTCATTATTGACTGAGTTGTGCATACCGGTATCCTCAAAATATAGCCCTCTGTGTCTTGCGCTCCTCGAATGAAGATACCGCACAGCATTATGCCAATTGCGCCAAGCAGAGTGAGAATCTTCAGACTGAACTGGATCCATCGCGCAATGTCGATGAAGACTTTCGTCTTCGGGCTCATTTCCTTCGCGTGTGTGTTACCATACGGAAGTATGAGGTAGCTGTCCGGGTGCTTGTTGAAGTCGATATAAGGACCTTCCTGCTTCTTCTTCGGTGGTGGAGGAGGCATGCGACTAGCCATGGTAACGGCCTTTGGGTTGAACGTCGACCGGGTGGGGTCGGTGTCAATCATCGAATCCCTCGATGCTGCGTACATATGGGGCTGCCAGCGGCCTGCCATTGTTGCGATGTAGAGCGAGAAGTAACGAAGGAAGGAAGTTCTGCTGCACACGACCGTCAGAACAGAAGGTGAGAGACGTCTTCTCGCTTATTAGCAAAGAGATGCAAATGCTGGTTGATAGCTGACATGGGCCCACGCGGGGACCTGGGGTGATATGTATGTAAATATGGGGTTGTCATGACAACAATCAATATCGACCAATGTAGATCCAGAACGGCTCATGACGTGAGGAAGCACGGATGGGACGGGTTTAGGCATTGACTAGTCGCAGCCACGAGCGGCTGAAACCTGTATTAGCCAGGAACATGTGGGGGCCCAATGAGTTGCAGCAAGGAATTGTGGTCAGGTTTGCTTTGTCGGTCGTTTGAGCGGCACGTTGGGCGGAGGAGAGGCCCAACAACACCATGGTCATATCATAGTAAACATGAAGCATTGAGTCGGACTTCCTGTTGCTCATCACGATTCCAGTGTAGATCTGATGGTCGCGGCGTTGACCAGGTCGTAGGATTGATGCCATTGACCTCGGGAGCCTCCAAGTTGGTGGCCTTAGTCATCCCGAAGTTCCTCGTGCGGCGATCGCCGCTATCAGATGCAAGGACCTTCACACCATGCACCTTGTCCGGCACCTACAGAGAACGCCCTATGTCTGCGCTAGCTGCACTCAACGCATATCAAGCGCGTCGGCTCCGATAATACGCGACCATGGTACCTTGAAGCATGTGAGGGCGATCAGCACGATACGATATCGGACAACGAAGCCGTCTCCATACAACAACGCATCTGCAACACCAAGACCACTTCGCAATGCCTACAGCACGACAGCAAGCGCGCGCGGGCGCCTTCGCGTCGCAATCATCGGTTCGGGACCGGCAGGCTTCTACACGGCATACCGGTTGATGAACAAGAACCAAGATGCCGTCGTGGACATGTACGAGCAACTTCCCGTGCCATATGGGCTTGTCCGCTACGGTGTTGCGCCGGACCATCCAGAGGTCAAGAACTGCCAGGACACGTTCGAGGAGGTCGCGCAATCACCGCGCTTCAACTATATTGGCAATGTGAGGGTTGGCCACGATATCGAATTGGCCAAGATGAAGCCCCACTACGACGCGATACTATTCTCATATGGCGCAAGTGAAGATAGGCAATTGGGAGTCCCAGGAGAAGACCTGCCGGGAGTATACTCGGCCAGGTCTTTCGTCGGATGGTACAACGCGCTGCCGCAGTTTCGAAGCCTAGAACCCAATCTCCAAGCTGGTGAACAGGCAGTTGTCATAGGGCAGGGAAATGTGGCGTTGGATGTTGCGCGCATATTGCTCAGCCCTGTTGACAGTCTACGGCATACCGACATCTCGGAACAGGCTATCCAGACGCTATCAGAGAGTCGGGTGCGGTCTGTTAGGGTCGTTGGCCGGCGTGGGCCAATACAGGTACGTCTTACTAGACGCATGCATCGAGATTTCGCTTACCAGAAGCCAGGCTGCCTTCACTGTCAAAGAGGCTCGCGAGCTCATGAACATCCCCTCCGTCGCCTTCGAACCAATCGACCGCTCCCTCTACCCACCCGAGATCAAGAAGCTCCCCCGAGTACAAAAGCGGATAGCTGAAGTCTTGCTCAAGGGTAGCAAGGCTACCAAAGAGGAAGCGCCGCGGTCATGGGCCCTTGAATTTATGCAAGCGCCCAAGTCTATGCACGCAGACGCTGGTCACCTATCCTCAATCGCCTTTACAAAGCAACAATTTGTCGCCGATGCGGATCCCTTCGACCAACGAGCCCGCGTCACACCCACAAACGAGGAGACATCGCTGGAGGCGTCGCTAGCGTTTAGATCCGTAGGATACAAATCAACGGGTTTACCTGGTCTTTCCGACATCGGCGTACCCTTTGACGAGAAGCTCGGCATCATACCAAATGACATGCACGGTCGTGTCATCACACCATCGGCAGGGCCTGGCAGCCTGACAGCTGGCCATGTCCATGGATTATACTGTGCAGGCTGGGTCAAGCGTGGACCGACCGGCGTCATCGCTAGTACCATGCAAGACGCCTTCGCATCTGCAGACATTATTGCGCAGGACTGGGAGGCCGATGTACCGTTTTTGAACGATACCAGTGGTGACAACAGGAGCACGGGGCTTGGTTGGGATGGCATCAAAGATGATGTTACTAGTACAAGACCGCTAAGTTGGTCAGACTGGAAGAAGATCGACGAGGCTGAACGGGCCAGGGGCAAGAGCAAAGGGAAGGAGAGGGAGAAGTTCCAGAGCGTGGAGGAGATGCTCAAAGTCTTGGATGCATGAACACATGTTATGAGAAAGCCAGGAAAAGGCATGCTTGCTATGTGGACACGCTCTGTGATCCTCTCACGTCAGTCATGAAGACGAAGTTGGCAAGCTCTTGTGTTGACGATACTTCTCCTTTTTCGAGAGGATCTGATTGGATGGGTACATATGGAATTCGGAAGTTGTGAGTCGCTCGTCTGCGTCGCGTCACCGCAGTACCATCGAAGTTGGCACTCTTTTGGAACATTCTTGTTGTACATAGTCAAATGACTCTTTGACCTGGATAATATCAAGTCATGACCTGAACACATGGATTTCGACTTTGATTTGCTGTGTAAGCCGACGAATCGGGCCCATATCCTCTATATCGAGCACATCGGCGTGGGTCATGCATTCTCAGAGCGGTCAGTATGTTTGCCTTTTTGTGCACGTGGCGGGGAGACAAATCATCGGTCCATGACCGGGTCATTTTGGAAAAGCAGAGGCCAACATGGGGTTGTTTGAGACCGCCTTTCTAGAAATATGTGGTAGAGGATGGTGTGCAGAAGTCCTCTCCAGGCATCGTTGAAAGTTTATATAGGCCGACCAGCCCACAAACGAGGTAGAGGGCGCACAAACTGGAGAGATGCATGACGATGTGCTGTCGCAAGGTGCTCTTCTCATATACTGGTCGTACATTGTTTTGCGTTTCCTCCGCACAAATCATTATGGATGGAGGCTCCTCTTTTGGAAACACAGCTCAGGAAAAGACATTTTTTCGGTTCTTATTGAGTTTTAGTTTCTTGAGACCGCGCGGTGTGTTGAAGAGGAGAAGATGTTTGCAAGACCGAGCCGATTTTATACGCGCTTGCAGCAGCCGGCTGCATGGATATGCCTTGGAGAATTTTTGGAGTATAGAATGTAGCCGATGCGAGTCGGATACTCGAGGCCCACGAACATAAGAGGAACAATACACGGTTTTTAGTTTCCGACATGCGCTTCTCATCTGTTTGCTTTGAGAGGCAGCGCCGCAAAGCATCCGTTGGTTTGATAAAAGTTTTGGAAGAGCAGAGCTCAGAAGAATCGTCATGGACTACGAATCTGATTTTGGAGCAAGGTGGAGGCAGCGACCGACATGTCCGGGTGTAACCTTCTTTTTGGGGTATCGAGAAAGAGTAGAACATTGTGATTTGGGAGACGATCGTAACAAGTAATCGTTGAAGGTGTTTCCGAGCTTAGTCTCATGAGACTCTGGTTCTGGGGATTTTTTTTGGAAACAGACGGGAAGGCCGCAAACATGATTTTGTAGAGATTATACTTTGGAAGATTCCCAGAAGATTGTATATGATGAGGAATGACCAGAGTACGAAAGACAGATTTATACACTCTGCTGACGGCCGACAGCGGCGTCGCGGGAACTACCGGGTCTCCGTTTGTGTCCTTGAGTGATCAATCACATGGTCCACGATCATCCGCATAACCACCGAGCTTGGTCACTACGCGCATGGTCTCCCAGAGTTTACTTCATTTGGATATATTTCTATCTCTCTATCATACACCGTGGTATACATGCAGTTTATCTAACCCCCGAAGTACCCTTCCCTATCGGTTCCCAAACCCCATAAAGCTATCCCTCACAGGCACATTCCCATCTATCGGCCTACTATACCTACTACTAACAGTCTTCTGCGTCCTCGTCGTCATGTACAAACTTGGCGGCATTGGTGGAGGCCATAGATCCTGAACAGTGACGCCAGTCATCCTCGGTCCGGTAGCGGCCGCCATTGGGGGCCGGGGAGACAGCAAGGGATCAAACACACCCGAAGACGGGCGGCGTTCTCCATATGTAGTCGACCTGTTATAGAACTCCTCGTCGCCATAGCCCATACTCTGCACAGGGTATGTGTAGCCTCCAGTTTTGGGGTTGTAGATGCCGCGCTCCTGGTAGTTGATCCGCTCCTCGGGTGAGAGGAAGTTGTCGTCTTGGGTATCTTGCTCGTTGATGCTCCCTTCTTTCCTGAAGTTGAATGGAGTGCTAATGCCGTTGTCTTCGGAGCCTTTGAGCTCTTCGGTTTTTCGTTGTGTGAGTTTGGGTTTGGTGGTGATCAATCTGGAAACCGATAGCGGGTCTTTCCTGTCGAAACCGAACGTGGCCATCGTGTCGCTTCGTTTGAGGTCACTAGACCCAACAGTCGTTGTTCGAGTTATGCCAGCTGCTTCTTTCTTGGCGATGTGTTGTTCCAACCAGGCTCGGATACCAACTAATGCCGTGGCACTGATTTGTATCATCAAGACTAAGCTAACGAGACCAGCAACACTGGTCGAGGTTAGCACTGCGTCGGCGACGCAAAGCGATATGGCTCGGAGTGTGGAGAACCCTTGCAAGAAGGCGAATTGGCCTAGCCCCAATAGTAGTTGGGTACTGATACCACTGATGAGGTAGATGCGTTGTGGTGTCTTCGCAACCGCCATAGGACCTTTGATGCCGGCGAATGCTGCGGGTGAGGGATGTGGGATCTCTGTACGAAGACGAACGATGGAGAATCCCACTGCTGGGAAGAGGAATATGAGGCAGATGAGACCCATAATGCCATGTGTGTCGCGGAAATGACTGGCGCTTCCCATACCGACCATGCCGAGGACGATACCAGTGATGCCTAGAATGGCAAACGTAATCAACAGGCCCATGCGCCATTTCCTGTTCTTGGCTTCATCGACTGGAAAGCCGGTCAGGACAGAAAACCGCCAGACTACGCCTAGGACAAGGTATAATGGAAGAAAGGTAAGAAATGCGAGACCAGCGAACAGGACGTGTAGTCCTGTAATGACTGCGAATGGGACGAGCGCCAGGCCATTGATCTTCACACTCTGGCTTTCGATAACAATCTCGAACATGTTTCCCTCTGATGATACTGTGATAGGTCCTCGAGGTAATGCTTGCAACACCGTTGGATCGAGAGTTTGACCAAGCTGGGCCATCGCTTTGTTCATCATAGTAGCGTTCGCTTTGGCTGCAGCCATGGCACCGAAAGCTGCTGACGCGATGCCGCCGATTCCCTGGCATGTGAGAGTATCGACTAATTTCTGTGCGCCTCTCTGCGCTGTGATGGGGTCGATAGCTATAGGGAACTGGCTGGTTCCGACTTGAGATTGACGGGCGATAATCGGACTAGATGCTACTGCGATGGGTCAGTATATGCAAAAACTCAGCTAGCAGCAATTCCTTACCTACACTGGAATCCTCGTGGAACTCTCCGACAATGCTTCGACGTGACGGAGGAGCCATATCAGACTTTGACATGCCCTGAGTGAGGTTTCTGACGATCTCCGCAACCAGTATCGTCGCTTTGCCTGTAAGCCCTCGCGCAAAGCCAACAGCCGAGCCGTTCAACGTATCGTTGAATTGTGTTGGAGCCAAAACTGGCACATTGTCGTATGCAGTATCCGGAAGGTCGCCAGTGATCAAGTTCTTGACCCCTCCGACAGAATACATCGCGCTCACAACGCCTTCGATGGTACCTCTAGCGAAGCCTTCAGCTGCCTTGGCTCCGTCGAGACCCTGTAATGCTTGAGGCGGGTTGTTCACGATGAACGATTTTGCTTGCTGAATGGCGCTACTATTGATGAGCAGGTTGGAGAACAAGTTTTGCGTAAAGCCTTCCGCAGCCAAAGCCGTTTGTTCGTTGTCGTCGTCAATATTACTAGCGATCATTGGCGGAGCGTCCACTGCCTTGAAGTTCAAACCGATAGCAATTCCCATGCCTATACCCGCACCAGCTCCCGCAGCCATAGGCCGGAACATGGCTTGGAGCTCGGTCATATTGGGGAAGCCCGTCATAGACCCGATGTCTAGGTTTGAAAAGTTGCTGCCCTGGATGAATGACTGGCTAAGACCTCTGGCGAAATGCTTTACGGTTCTCGGAAAGTCTATCGTGTCTGCTGTAGGGTCCACCGATTGTCGCTTCTGGTTCTCAGATCCAGATAGCTGCGATGTTGTCAAGCCCAAGCCGTTTCTTGCGCCTTCTCCTAGGCCCAGCCCTGCTGCTGCTGCGATCTTGGGAAGATTCTGCATGAAGCTCGAGACACCGGAGCTGTTTCCCAAACTCTTGATAGTGGCTCGAAGATCAATGTTGGACACAATCGGCATTGCAACACCAAGGCCAAAATTTCCAGCTAGACCCTCAATGCTCGAATCGGATGAAGGTGCGAAACGTTGCTCTGTCAGACCGAACCCTACTGCAGTCGCGTTTCCGATGCCAGATGCCAGGGCAAAGGCCGCAGGAGCGAGAGAGAAATTGTTGCCATCCAAGGAAGGGGTGATTTGCCTCGATATGCCGTTTCCAAGTTGCTGAGCGGCGAGGTTCGCACCACTTGCTGAAGCGTTGTAGGCAGTGGCGATACTCGAAGCTATCGCGTTGGCTTCCTCCATGTCGGTCAAGTTGAGAGCAGTCGTTGTACCCATGCTACTAATGGTTAGTCTGTTCGTCATGATGTGCGCTTACGTACCCTAGACCTATACCCAAAAACAAAGCAGGTGTACCAAGGGATCCAACCATCAAGTCTCCTAGGCTGCCCAGTACACCGGCCAATCCACCCGTCAGATTGAACCCGCCTATACCACCAGCACCCGTCAGATCTCGGAAAGTTGTACTGATGTCATCTTGTAAATCCCGCCTCCTCAGTTCGGATTCCTGTTTCGACCGAACGTTCTCGATACCATCCGTGAGATTGGTGCCAAAGCTTTGGAGACTTTCCAAGCGGAGTCTCTCACCAATATCACTGGATGATTGTGCGATAGCTTCTGTGAGCGATAGTAGCGCACTACGCAGCCTCACATCTTGGTTGAGCGCGTCGATAGTCTGTGTAGAGAAGATTGCTGTGAGACTGTCTGGGTAATGTTCGCTAGCGAATGATCCCCGTGAGCCGAACCAAAAGGCAGCCGATGAGTAAAGCAAAAAGAAGGTCGTAAAGCATGCCAGTAGGTGCCAGACCGGCCTTTCAGAAGCAATCGCAAACATTATTATAAGGAAGTAGTGGGGTATCTCAAATACATGTGCAAGAAAGAACCAGAAGGCGAAGGTGTCAATGGCGGTGGCCTGCCACAACACTCACTCAGGAACCAAGAGTAGGCGCCCGGCCAAGAGCCACAGCGATACTATATGTCGAGCAGAGTGGACATGGTGATGCTGTCCGGGGTGCCGTTCTTGAAACATCCTAGACGTAGAACTAGAAACGCTAGAAACATCAGAAACACGCCCACTTCATGTCGTACGTGCAGCATATCGAAGAGACGCATTATGCGCTGGGGCCTGTTACTCCGTAATACTGACACTCGCGTGAGGATCGCATTGCTGTGGATGGAGAGCTGCTCGCAATGAAGAAGTCCCACTGTAGAACAGGTCAGAAACATTTCTCCAAATCGAAGCCATCTAGCCGCCCGCATGATCGCAGAGCCCAACTGTGGCCGAGACCAACTCTCGACGTCGCACAAGGTGCTGAAGGAGCAATAAAACAGCATTGCAGAGGGCTTTGCCTCTCTGCCGGGCTGTCCTAGTGGACATGATCATCCCGCGACCGGCCCGTTCGGTAATGCGACGATCTTGAAACATGAGACATCGGCCAATGATCATGGACAACATCGAAGCTGTGTGACGAACATTTTAACCGGCCAGTCAAGGTGCGAACAATGCCTGTAATGCTGGCGAATGGTAGTTGTCGAAGGACAAGAAGCGCGTGCCACGGAACATTGCGGTCCAGGATACCTTCACGAGCTCCGATGCTGAGGCTGCGTTCGTGGGTTAGCGACTGTGGAGCATGTGAAGGACCAGATTTGCATTCGTGGCACGCGCGACGAATCCGCGTTCTCTGTGACACGTACAGACAGCTCTCCTGAAGCCGCAGCCCTGGAGGTGCTTGACAGTTCCCCGGTCATGTTACTCAGGCTGAGTAAGGTTTGGGAGTATCATCAGTGTCTATAGCGTTCGAACTCTCAGAGTGAACGGGGCTGACACAATCACGATGCTCATTTAGGAAACGCGATGGTTGAAAGAGGTTATGGATAAGTCGACCGAACGTGTGAAGATGGAAGGAGCACACGCGTCACGCGTCACGCGTCGGGCGGCAGCTGACTAAGCGCATGCCGGCTGATCTTCGCCCCGACGCTGCGCGCTTTCCCACGTTCTGCTTCTTTCCCACGATACGTAAATAGACAGCCACCTCTATTGCCCAGAGATGCAGTACACCTGCGATCCGCCACAAACCTCTTCTCCACAAAGATCCTGGCTGTTTGGCACGTTCTCGATCGCCCCGCCCACTGTACGTCTCTGGCGCGGGTACACGAACCGGAGAGATGGCTTGTTTGTTCTAGGCCCAACTTCCTTTCTGTCAATACTCATCGGCCGCTTCTGTGTCTGATCTGTCACTGCACGATTGTGATTCGTACTCTGCAGACGGCCACAGTCCTCAGTGCGGGTGATCTGCCTTCCCGCCGCGGAGTTGTAGCGCGACAGTTACCGCAACTGTCAACGCCACACAAGCATGCACTACCCAATGTAGCGGTCCTTTTCCCCGCCCTCTCCCAAAAATCAACGCGGGCCATGACTATTGCCAAGCTTACTTCACATCTCAGCTCCACGCCAACCTAGGAAAAAACTGAACAGCCTGGAGCCTACGTTGACGTTGGGTCACCTACTCTGCAAGGCTTTGGCTTAATGTAGCCTGCAGACCTGTTCAGTTTTTTTCTTGTATGAGGTGGCTCACTTCTTGAAAGCTTCACTCGTCCACATATCATCCTCGCCACTGTCGACTTTCAAACTAGGAGTCTACTGCTGGACGGTGTGCGGTGTCCGAGTGGGCCAGAGCTTTGGCCAAGCACTGACGGTACTTGCCATGCTGGTGTTCCTCACAGGGTATGAGGCATCGCTTGTGGCCATCGTTCGCTACCATTCTTGGCTCAGCTTCTGGGGAAAACTTTGCCAAGAGCGGCAGTGAAATGTGGACGGATGACGTGGAAGAAATGCAAATAATCAACATAAGTCGAAGGGCAATGATGCCGTCCATGATGCCGTCATAGGTCCAACGAAAGTCCCGAGGAAATCTTCGATGTCTGCAGACTCAGTCGCCTCTCCATAGATCAGCCAGGTACTCATTGAGTCTTTCAGTCTCTCTATCACGTCGGGAAAGGTATTCAGAATGCTTCGCAAACCTTCGGCTCCATAACGTAACTATCAAGCCATGGAACGAGTGGCTTAAGTTAAGACAATCTTTTCCAGAAAAGCTTGGCTCAGCTCCATGCAGCATATCGGTCTGGACGACGCCACGGCCTGAGCCGCAACATCGTGGCTTCACTGTTGGTATGCACGTCTTGCTTCTCACTGGAGAGCCTACTGTCGGACCTCGTAGACCCTAGCAGGCTGCACATGAGAGACATTGGATATTACCCCCAGCATTTGAAATACAGAACTGTATAAGAAGGACTCAGATCACCGGCATACATCTCTATCAGCTTCAGCTTCAACTTCAACTCACACTCTTCAACCACCAAGATCAGTCAACTCCGAAGCAAGATGTCTCTCTTCACTTTCACCTCCACTCTGCTGACGGCCGCCGTGGCCATCACCTCTGTCCAAGCATCGCCATTCTCCGGGCTCGACACTCGCTCCTTAAGTGGCCTACTAGCCCGTGATCTATCCGGCAAACTATGTAAACCTTTTGTTTACGGAGCCAAGCGCGATCCAGTGGGTGACGTCTGCGTATCATTTTCCGGCGACTCCCTAACCGTTACCTACCCTGACCTTTCCTCGGTCGGGGGAAGCTATGGAGATCTCCACGTCATCGTTCAGCCAACCAAGCCCTCAGTCACAGCCCCCGGTCAGTGGCCATACAAGCTCGACAATGGCTACTGCACAAAATCTGGCACCTGCACCATCCCCATCCTTGACACTTGGCGGGCGTGTGGCTTGGACCTGTACATCGGTATCCATGCCGCCTTCATTCCCAAGACAGGATCAGCCAGCGAGACTGGCTACGCAGACGGAGACTGCATCGATCCTAAGAACTCCGGAAACTGCGCAAAGTACTTCGTCTTCAAGACCGAGTGCCAGTGTGTGCAGGTTACGAAGTACGAGGAAGTCAAGACTTCGGCACGTATCTTCTCTCGCAAGCAAGGTGCTACATGCTAATACATTCGAACAGGCTGTTTACGTCAAGACAATCTATGAGACAAGCACAGTCTACTGCAGCACTACCCCTCCTGACGCGACTGCTACCGCTACTTGTAATGATGCCAAGGTCGGAGCAACAAAGGTCACGACTGCGACGAAGGAGATCAAGGACTTCGCCTGCTCTACTCCGGCTTGGTGAAGATAATAGAAGAGCGTCTCCGCCATGGTCCGGAGCTGGGGGACTTGGGCGTAATAACAAAGCATGGGCTGGGGTTTGATTTATACTCAACGTGCTATAGAGCTCACACTCCTTACCAGACGCACAATAATTTCCTATAATGACTCCTGAAATCTTTTTGCGACTTATGGCATGGAATAGAGTGATCTCGCATTAATGTAACAGCAGCTGGTACTTGATGTCATATCACTCATCTTGCCTCGCATGATACAGCGCACGCATACCCTTGCCCGATCCAAAATTCCCATCCACAACACTATCGGCTGAATCAGCATCATCCTGATCCCATTCCTCATCCTCATCCTCTTCTCCATCACCAATAACAAACATATTCTGCAGCTTGTCCAACTGCTCCATATGATTCGCAGACATCGTCTTCCTTTCTTGAGCAGCACTCTCACGCATAACAAGCGAGTCCTGCCGCTCAACAGTCGTCCATGACACCTTTTCTGTGACTCCGTCGTCCGTTACACGTTTCAAGTCCGCCGGCTTTGCCCCCGCAGGTAGAGCAATAGCTATGGCTACACGGTTGATAATGTCTAGTGCAGAGGGAAGAGGACGATGGTTTGGAGGTATGACGAGGTTGCCGATGGTTTCGAAATGGCTGAGGACCGAGAAGCGAGTGTCGGGTATGGAGAGACGTTGGGATTCTTCGTCCGCGGTAGTGAATGCTGGGTTGGAACGAGGAGACTTGCGTCGCGAGAAAGTGTAAAGTCGGACCGGGTGGACGAAAATAAGAATTACGAAGACGGTTATCAAGACAGCGCCTGCGCAGCTGGACACTATGGCACCGATTTGATTGTGGGTTAATGCCATGAGTGTCTGGACCAGCTAGCGCGTGTGATCTGATAGCTCGAGGGGTATTAGTGGGCTGAGATGAAGTATTGAGACAGGAACTATCTTGATAAGCTGGAGCGACCGTGTGTTAAATGTCCGGACATGTAGTCGCACAGTGCTTGAACCTTGGTCACATTGCGAGCTCGTAGGGAACCTGGTAGGAGAATGTCCGCTAGCCGGCTCGAGCAGTCGAAATTCTGTACTGAGTTGCGATTGGTAAGTCTGTGTCTAACGTGAGGACGGGCCGTCGAGCTCGTTGCAAACTCCGTTCGATCTCCTGTTGGCGTTCTTCGTTGGCCTTTCTCCGACGTCGATGTCGGAAGTAGCTTATGATTCCGACGACAATGGCTAAGATCGTTGCAGAGCCTAGTATGGAAACGATGATGATGATTGTTTGTTCGGAGATGCCTTGGGGCTGCAAGTCTTCGACTGACGCTTCAGCGGATGCATCAGCCAAATCGACCCTGTGGATACGTGAGGTGAAACTTGATGTAGCCATCTTTTCGTAAAGCAGGTGACATTTAAAATTGTGATCATAGTTTTCGAGAGTAGAGCAGGATTCTATAACAGCCGAGAGCACAGCCGAGTGTCATCTTTGTTGAAAGAAATTGCAGAAGACAAAGCCGTCAGTGTGCTTCGCCCAGTTGTACCACCGCAAATCACATTGCATACAAAGACGATGTATGAAAGTACTAATGGCGAGATGTCATGATGAGAAGTGATGGCTTATTGCATCGATACATACTTAAAGTCCTACTTTGTCTTTGAGTTTTTCCCACTGTGTTCGTCGGACGTTCTTCTGCTCTTCAGCAATCCGTCCCCAGTGTTCTCTGTAACCTTGAGTGAAAACTCTCGGCCTGCATTCTCTTTGCATCTCCTTGCGGCGCTCTTTCTCGAGGAGGGATTTCTGCGCGTTGTAACGCTGGAACCATCCTTGATGAGTGAGGCGGTCGTGAGGCTGAGGCGAGCTAGTGGCAGAAGAGACTGCAGGCTTCCACCACTTGCGCAAAGCCTGGAGATGGTGCTGGAAAGTTGTCTTGCGTGGCGGTGTGTTAGTTAACGGAAGTATCGATTTCTTGGAACGACCGAAAAGGGTTCGTATTAGCTTTCGTGAACATAGGAATGCAATGACGAGAATCGCGGCAACGGTAAGCGGAACATAAATCAAGGACCTGCGCTCGATCTTCCAAACATTTCGCGTCGACATGATACGCGCTTCAGTCTCGGTAGATTGTGAGCCTGGAATGAGGCTGAGATATTGGGTGATGTACTATCTAGAATGAAAATGCGGTGAGCGATTCCGTGATAAGGTCGAGACAAAGAGGAAGTCGTGCATGGACAAAGCAATCCAATCAGTGTCTAGGCGCTAGTAAGTTTACAATGGTTGGGTGGTAGAGACCTATGCGCAAAAACAATGATGGAGAACGAGTGGACAAGACTGTTCACGATGTTTTCCCGTCGTATGGCAGCGGTCTGAGGCGTGGTGTGATGGATGCAAGTAGCGGTGGCGAGCGCGTGATGGTGAGCCAACCAACGACGTCATGAAATCGTCCATATTATCAAGGCCTCTGCCGCCCGATCCCGCAACCTTCATCGCTCCTTCCACCTTTGCTTTTGACCGATCGCATCAGTATCATGTCTGGTAACGCCTCGGAAACCGCGGTGGAGAAGTACCGTTACGAAATCCTCTTCGGCGCCTGGCTGGCCGTCACGGGCGCGACATTTCTTCGCATCAAGCGTCAGCCCTACTCGACCCGTCTCAAGATCGAGCAGTACGAGAGCATCTTCAAGGGTACATCGCTCAGTGCCGTGCTCATCGGAATTGGTATTACACCTGCGCGGACGACAGCAAGGCGATTCGGCGGGAATTGAGCGGAGAGGCTCGCTGTCGATGCTCCGCAGAGAACGGGTGGAGAGGACGCGTCTGGTTGACCTTGGCGCTTCCCCGCAACTTTCACATGCGAACACCCGTCATCGTTCCTTCCTTCTCCACCACGGATCGCCATCATGTTTCTTCGGCTGGGCTCATCCAGCCTTGAGCTCAGTCTGTGGAACCCCGTGTATGCCGTCACGCCCTTTATCCTGCTCTCCGTCTCCATCCCGCTCGCCTTCTTCGCCGTCGTCACCACCTCAATCGCCGTATCGCTCCTCTCCTTCCGCGCATTAACCGTATATTGCCGTCTCGCCATTGCAATCATAGGCGCATGGCTATCCCCATCAGCTTCGAAGCCAGTCCCACTTCGTGCCCCTCCTATACCTTCGTCCGCCCGGCACTCCCCGACCGGGCAGCGCCATCGTCGCGCAAGCACGGCTAGCACGACATCCTCACAAGATGCAGGACTACACTCGGCGCATACGTCACGTCTCCTGAAACATAAAAATAACTCTCTCACGGCGCTCATTGGTACAAGCGAATTGACGCGCGACTTTGAGGGCGTGGGAGGGTGGAGAGTCCCGGGTGACGATGACGAGGAGGCGCTGTGGATGGGCATCAACTCAAGGCTCCAATTGCCTGCCGAGACGCCTACTCGGAGGCATGCGCGGAGTTTGACAGGAGGTGCAAGCCCGGGCCAGAGGTGGAGTGCTGGATCAGACGCGTTTCGCATGAGCCCGGTGCAGAGCAGGGCAAGAACACCAGTACGCTTTGCCCTCGAAGACGAATCTGGTTACTTCCCTGTACAGCCCACCTCAAATAGTCGGCGTGGTAGCGCCGGCTCTGAATCCGCCAAACAACATAACAGAAGGAAAAGTGGTAGTGGTAGCAGCATGTCAAGTACTGCTTCCGGTCTGGCTATCACGATGAAGGAGGCTGGCAAATGAATCAACTCCACGGCATACGCTTCTTTCCCGAAGCCCGCTTCATCTCGGCTCTATAAGAAGACCAGAGTTCGATTCTTCGATCCACCTAGACTACAAATCATGCCGCGCTGAATATGATAACGACGTTAGATACCCCGAAAGCGACTAACGCATCATCTCGCGCGAGCGTACATACGAAACCGACAAAACTAACCACCTCTCTCGCTCAAGAGTCCATCGTGACGCTTTCTCGATACGAAGAACGCCCGTCACACACTTCATTTGGCGTCTTGTTCGACTTGGAGGATATAACGAATACATGATCACAAGTAGCTGCCTGTGGAGGAGGAAACGATACCACGTGTTGTATACGTCGACGCGGACGATGAACAGCTAGCCGTCTCGAAGGTACCGAATACTTCCTTGCTATCATCCAGCAGCTTTTAATTCAAGGTTTTGTAGCTATGTATGTTCTAAACTGACCATAACATATCTCCTTTCACATGTCAACTCTTTCCTGAGTCTTTCTCAGACCTCGAGATCAGCGAAAAGGATTTGGAGGATGTCCTTGGCATGCAGCTGGCTACATGGGTTTGCAGCGATAACAATTTACTTTTCATATACGGACAACGCCCCACATGCCTATCGCAGTGATCGTCGAGTATGATACTGCCAGCGTTCTCAAAGGCTAAAATGAAGTCGTACGACGTTCGGATAGGACCCGAGGGAGTGACTCCCGGGCCCCGCAGCCATCACACCGATATTGGCTGTTTACTCAACAACATGTGATCGTGGATCAGATGTGAGAGACGGCAGACAAAGACGGACAGCAAGTATTTGAAGTTGACATTTTATTAGTGTTCGCGCCGTTTAAATTCTGGACATCCCACTATTCTTATCCTCATTTCCAACACCACCTCCCACAACCACAAACATGCGGCCAACCTTCCTCCCCATCCTCCTCCTCGCCCACCATGTCTCCGCCCAACCCCCCTTCTTCAACATAACCATCCCCCCAATGCTCCGCTTCCAATGCTCGCAACTCGTCGTCGAGCGCCTCGACCCCCTCGTCTTCCCCTCCCTCATTCCCTCCCCCCACCTCCACCAGATCGTCGGCGGAAACTCCTTCACAGCCTCCATGCCGCAGTCCCACGACCTCGTCACCGCCTCCACATGCACCAGCTGCACTTTCTCAGAAGACTTCTCAAACTACTGGACCGCCGTCTTGTACTTCCGCGCTCGCAATGGCACGTATAAAAGGGTGCCGCAGTTTGTTAGTGAGGGGCTGAAAGGAGAAGGGGGGATTACGGTGTATTATACGCCTGATACAAAGAACCAGACTGGTGTTACGGCTTTTCGACCCGGGTTTCGCATGTTGGTTGGTGATGCGACGGCGACAGCGAAATCGGAGGCACGGAAAGTGTGTTATAGATGTATGCCGGAAACGGGTGACAACATGCACCTTAACTGTGCGGCACCGGATGCGCAAACACTTCCTACGGGTTTCTGTCCTGGTGGTATACGCTCTGTTATTACTTTCCCCACGTGTTGGGATGGCGTTAATTTGGATTCCCCGGATCATCAGAGTCATGTGGCTTATGCGGATGGGGCGGGGGATTACGATGTCGGGCCTACGGGGACGTGTCCTGAGTCACATCCTGTGGCTATACCGCAGGTTATGTATGAGGTTATGTGGGATACAAGGGAGTTCAACGATGCGGAGTTGTGGCCAGAGGATGGGAGTCAACCTTTTGTGCTCAGTACGGGGGATAGGTGAGTCGAAGTCTCCTCTTTTCACTTGAGAAACAATGAGTAGCTGACAGTATTGCCGATACAGGAATGGGTTCTCGCAGCATGGAGACTATGTCTTTGGCTGGAAGGATGACTCGCTTCAGCGTGCTATGAATGCGCGTTGTACGGGTGATGTTTGTTCGGTGTTGGACTCGCAGACAACTGAAGAAGCGATGAAGTGTACTATTCCGCGGACTGTTGATGAGGATGTTGATGGTTGTAAGTTAAAAGGTATCGCTTCACAAATCTTGTTTGACTAATCACTCGATCCAGGGTTGGCTGAACTTCCTGGAGGTTTTACGAAGGTTTGACGAACGGTCAATATACGTAATTCGATGAATTAGAATAAGACCTGAACGTATCTCGACGCCTGGGATGGGTAGAGTTCGTGTCGCATTCTTCGAATGATATCCAAGTTGCAATATACCTCGTCTTAGTCACGACTCACTTATTAAAACTTAAATCTTTTCATGCGACACGTACAGGTTTAGAATTCCGTAATATAAGCTATTCAGCGCATCCATCTCGGTGTTAAAAAGCCTGACTCACTCGACTGCGTCGCAATGATATACTGCAATTTGCACTGCTCGTATCAGCCACTGCAGGAACCCGCTGCGAATCCTCTCCCCACCAATCAACGCTATGCTTCCATTCAACTTCGTTCCCTTACAGCGCGTCACAAAGACGACGTTGTGATAATCGAACAATGCCAAGCAATAACACTCCCGCTTCTGTCCAAATGATAACATGGCTTCCAGAAGGGGCTTCGCCGTGCGCACGATACCTTCGCCATTTGTGAACGTAAGGTCCGGCTTCCTGAGACCCCAATCGCCGGGTACAATTGTGCCGGCAGGAGCAAACTGAACTATACCAACGAGCTCCTTCGCGTTGCGTTCGCCGGTCTTACGCACATACCAGGTGATGGCGTCGGGAACAATATCGTAGCTGTGTTTAAGGGCTGGAGAGTGATCCTTACCGGCAATGACCAGAAACTCGACCAAAGTGTGTTGTGAGGATTTGAGGACGCCTTCCGGTGTGGCGATCGCAGAATCGTCGACTGTAGGGAGTGGGCTGTCTTCCGCTTTGACGAGCTTGCCATCAGGGGTTGTGTAGATTCTGAATGCACAGCCACCGTACTGGGCGCCGAACGTGAGTAGCGCGCTACTTACCTCGCTATTGTCGATATGTCTGTCATGTAGGAAACGTTGCGGCGGAGGCCCCAGAGCTGCGGCCTCCAGATTCGAGTCTTCAAGCGTGTATCCAGTAAGCGGTTTCAACATCTGCACGTTTGTGTTTCTGATCGCCTCTCCTAGGAACCCAATGAGCTTGGAGCGAATTTCATCCGACCATCCCACGAATAGGTTGACACCCCCGGGATCCTCGGTGAATCCGAACAGAATCAGACGCACACCGTCGTAGAAGCCAATTCGATCACATCCGAATTTCAGACGAATATTGGCGGCTGCCGTCGCCAGGGTGTTAGTCCGTTCTTGGTGTCTTGACACGTGGGCAATGCTGTCGCCGTCGTCGTCCTTTTTTACGATATCAAGACTTAAGTCGTTGGGCCATCGAATGACAATAGCGATAGGATTGAGTACATCATCCGCTTTGATGCACCAGGCCATTGTATAGGGCTGGCCAGCGTACCATTTCGAGAAGTGGATGCGATCGCCGTAGTACTGTTTGATGATGTCGTTGGGTATATCTACCAGTTCCGTCAAGGTGAAACCAAGGTCGGGGATGCTGTTCACGTCGCGAAGATGGGGATGATACACGATATCGGTGTCGTCAGAATTGGATGGGTGTCCTTCGCGAGTTTCGTTCTGGTTGGCGTCGTTCGTTGATGTCGATGGCGTACTCGACTTTGTCTCAGCTCCCGGGGAAGTGTCCGCACTCTGTGTTGATGGTGTATCTCCGACAAGCGTCTCTGTGGACGAGTCCGAATCGGAAGCGAGGGTCTTAGCGAGCTCATCCACTTCAGCCCTCAGAGAGCGCAATGTCTCTGTGATGGAGCATGATGAAGCCTCGGGTGGGTTTGAGGACATGATGTCGACTGCGATGACAGAAAGTCGAAGGTAGTGAGAGAAGGCAGGGTGAGGGTCGGTTTGTTGACACCTAAATGAAACTAGCGCGGGTGGGAGTGGAAAGAGCCCTCCAGGGCTGAGGTATGAGCACCATGTGCTAACGTTCCTAGGCAGTTGCGACCATCTGGCCACCCGAAGCCCTCATCACGATGCGTCTGACGGTCTCGACAAGATCAATATCAACGTTGAGCCACCGCTTCCTTCGCTCTTCCGGCGATAGCGGTGGCACCTCTCTTTCCGTCTTTCTCTTTTCCATTTTCGGAAAGCACAGCCACAGAACCAAGAGAGCTGCGAGAACAGCCAGAATGATGGGCTGTAGGACACCAAGGCCTTTCGCTTGAGCAAGCGATCCGATAGCAAAGGGTAGCGCAGCACCTCCGCCAACACCTATCGCAGCAGCAAAGCCTATCGCAGAGACATGAAGATGTGGCGGAAGAGCTTTGGTCGCTGCGACGATGACAGCGGGAAAGAGCGGACCGAGGGAGAAGCCTTGTAGTGCGACGAAAACGGCCGATACGTGGAAGGAAGGAACGAGCCAGAACATAAGTTGACACATGGTGGCGACAACAATGTATATCTGTCGTGAAATTAGCTTGTGCAGGTTGCAATCCGATCTTGACCGTACCAGAACAGCGAGCTTCTCGCCAAGCTTTGGTGTGATGAAGCTCAAGACAAGGCGGCCGGCAGCGATGCCAGTCCAGAATCCGGTCGCAACAATGCCAGACTCGAAATCTCCACCTGCTCGTTCCCGACGCATGAAGGTAACGATCCAACCTCCAAGCGCTCCGCCGGCTCCGACATACCCGAAGAGGAAGATAGCGGCTATCCAGGTGACGCGACTCTTGAGTGCCTGCTTAAGACGGCTTTCACCTTCTGCATTCACGCGGAGTGATTGTTCGCGATACAAATGGCCTGAACACGATCGGAATGCCCAAAGCGATGTCGCAAGCTCAATGCAGGCGCCACCAAGCTGGTCAGGGTTAGCAACAATCCATCGAACATCCGAGGCGACTGACCATGATGTAGTAAAACTGATACCATTGCCATCCACGCTTCGCAATCAAGCTAGTAGCAGCTAGCGGACTAAGCAAAGCCCCCAGCCCATATATCCCATGCACAAACCCCAAAACCTCGTTCGCATTGGCCAAACTACCTGCCCACGCGTTCCAGGCTGCGTCTTCAATGCCATTTCCAAATCCCGAGAAAATGAACAAGATCACCAGAACGGGGTATGACGGATGAAGGACAATGCCTACGTACGCCACTAGATGGCAAGCAGGTCCAAGGAAAGCAATGCCCCGTTGACCAAAGTGAATGTGCAGCCAGTCGTTGAGGAGTGCAGCACTGATGTATCCACCCATCGGAGACAGGAAAACTAGCGAGACGATAACATATGTTAGATCGTAGTACTCCTCGAGGTAAGGAATAATAGCCTGTCACCGTCAATAGTGACCATATATACCAAGGGATTGTATTGCTTACTCCGTATGCGGCATCATTTGCGCCCATGATAGTGAACGCAAAGAGAACAGCGAGTGTGCGGAATACATTGGCCTTCGGGTGGTTCCAACGCTCAGCTACTGATACCGTCGTTGATGGTTGGGGAAGGAATGCGGCTGGTTCGATGCCGCTGCTTCTTCGGTCATCGTGTTCACATCTTTGGTCGCGTAACTTCGCTGGTGCTACATGTTGAAATTCGATACTCGCCTGTAGCGCATTACTTGGGAGTCGATTGGTGCTTGTATCTGTCTGAGTTATGGTGTGAGTAGACGACATGGCTACGAACACCGAGCAAAACACGAGCCGCGCAGAACAATGAAGTTCGATTTCTGACGAACGGTGAACAAATATAAGAAGTTTCGTATAGTTTTCGTACGGCGCCTGTGTCTTGCACCCGGAACCAGCCACTATATTGTAACGCCCAGTCACGCTTGGCGCTACCATACCGAAAGCGGGAATGCTTGCGAGGACCTGTGTGGGAATACCGTCATATGTAGAGAACCCAAGTCTTCGTAGACTCGCTAGATGCATATATTGATACGTACAACAAGTTATGTATACTGTAAATCTGGCAGTTCTGGTTCGTCAGAGAACCCGGGCCTGCGTCATTCCGTGGGACAATGCTTCATCCAGGGAAAGGATAGACAGCCGGGCTCTTGTACCCATTCGTACCGACGGCCCTCACGCCGAAGATGACATTATCCTTGCTAAGTGGAAGCACAACTGATCCAACTTTGCCGACATCAAGCATGCGAGTCCACAGGCTCGCTGTAGTGGCTCGCCACACGATTTCGTAGCTCGCGACATCTGTGCTATTGGAAACGATCCACTTGATGCGCGAGTCGTTGTCCAGAACTGTCGTGTCGATGGTGACGTTGCGTGGCATGCCAGGAGCCTGTGAGAGGGACCAAAGCGTGGCGAGATTGACCTTGCCAACACGTGCTGTGAAGTCAAAGTCGACGAACTCAATTAGGTCGCCATAGACGGTGCCGTTCTCGGTGCGCAAGTCTTGATGCTGATGAGCGAAGTTCTCGTTAGGCTCGGTGTAGCGGATAGCAGGGTAACCCGCTTGAAGGAATCCAGTGTGGTCACCTCCACGCAAAAAGCGGTCCAGGCGGTAGATGATGGCTACGTTCATACCGGTGGCATTGTTGGCAGCGACTTCAGCTGAAAAGCGCGCAAGCTCTCGTGCAGGGCTATCGTTCTCGCCACCGATTTGGAGTCGTCGCGCTGCTGTGATGTTGTTTTCGGCTGAAAGAGGCGGAACACCTTGAGCGAAAGCGCGAATGGTGTAGGGGTCTTTCTGACCGCGATCTCCAGTTGAGGAACCGACAATGTCGCAGTTCAGCATGCCTTCGACATTCGTGCTAGAGTTCTTGAGTGTTTGTGCCAGATAGGTGGAGCCATATAGACCCTGCTCTTCGCCAGATACAGCACCAAGGATTATTGTTGACTTGGGCTGATGCTTGGCAAGAACACGCGCAATCTCCATCGCAACTTGTATAAGTCAGCTTCGATCCTGTAATAACCCTTTCGGAATACACATACTAGCAACTCCACTCGCGTCGTCGTTGGCACCGGGAGAGTCGGCATCGTAGTTGAGCACGTCAGTGACCCGACTGTCAATATGTCCGGTCATGACATATACTCTGTCAGGATTCTCGCTTCCCTTGGCTGTCGCGAGCACATTCGAGATGTACACGGGAAAGGGGATTCTGCTGGCTACTCCCTGCAAATAGCTTTGCACCTCGACTGTCATCGTTCCGTTGCTGTCCGCAGCATATTTTCGCATCTCGGAGGCTACCCAATCTCTCGCTGCATCCACTCCTCGCGTCGAGCTGTTGTATGTGGCGAGGGTATGGCGGGTTCCGAACGATACCAGTTTGGTGATCGTGGCCTCGATGTTTGCTGAACTGATTTCATTCACAATAGCTCGCATCTCATCGTCTGGTGCTTGCGGGATTAGCTCCGTGCCGACGTTGGACGGAGGCCATGCTGCGTTGGCACAGTCGGTATATGATTCCGCGTTGGCTGCCACGGGTAGCGGGAGATCGCGACCGAAAAGAACCTCGTGCGCGTAGGCGCTCGAGAGCAGCGCACTTCCGAATAGTGCTGATCTGAGAAACATAATGACTGCGATGAAGAGATGGCCATCCTACACAGCGCGCGCAGAATGGCTTCTTATATCGAAAATTGAGATGCGCCGTCGCCCAACGTGCAAGACGGCACATTTTGGCATGGATCCGCATATCGGAAGTGGTCTACAACGAACTTCCCATGCCAGTTAGCACACTGGGTCTACAGTGGGTGCCCATCATCATCTTCTGCGATCTCTTCTCGAGATGCACCTGTCCCGCGGCTCGGCAAGCGTAAATACCCAGCCCTGCTACTTGCCGACAGGGTAGGAGATTACCGAATTAGGCAGGTGGAGAAGGAAGAACGACGTCAACCACGGATGATTGAAGGCTTGACAAGGCCAGATGAACGCCGATAAGGAGGAGGGCGCAGTGCAATGACTAAGGGTAGAACGGAGAATGACCACTAGGCGGGACTGACGACTGTGGCTTGTGCGGAGGTATTATCACAGCTGCACGCGCAGCTGGGTAACAAGTGAACTGCGATTACTTATCAGAGTAGAAGCCAAAGGACGTCGGATCTCCAGCCCCTGTGAGTCCACATTTGATACCAGTAATCGCGACGTCGTCCAGGAATCGAGGGGCGGGTGCACCGTGGTCCAGGGGTTTCATACTCTGGCCGAGATCCGCTGTCTGCATCGGACACGAGTACTGGCAGCTTCGCATGGAGCTGTGAGGTCAAGATACAAGTTTATATGCATTGTGGTAGAGTACCCAGATGTCGAACGATGGAGAGCGAACTGGAGGGAGCTCTACGAATGCCACTAGCGCTAACGCGCTAGAAGCTTGGCATTCGAGGGTCCAGCAATCGGACTTCGCGATGATGCAATGTGTCAAGTCGCGAAAGTCTGCCTACAAGGCTGCAGTATAACGTTCACCGTAGCAAACCTCACACTACATATCCAGTCTATACTGAAGTAACACTATCACTTAAAACCGACGCAAACCTGATATTCCGCAATGGTACGCCTCATCAACTCTCATTGCTCAACACAAACTTACGTCGCAAACAGAACGCGCTCTTCAACAACGCCTTACGGCAATCGACATCGATACGAAAAGACTTGGACCAGTTTGCCGACTCAGCCTCGCCATCGCCACATCTCCAAGCCCAACTGAACGCGTCTCTAGCCACATTTGCGCGTACCATCGACGACTATGGCAAGCTTGCAAAGCAAGAGCCTGTGCAAACCAAAGCAGAAAAGGCACACGAGAGGTTAAAGAACTTCCGGGCTGAGCTCGAAGAGTACCGGACAAATTTCAAGCGCATAAAAAGTGTAAACGAAGAGATCGTACGTTTCGAACTGACGCTAAGACTCTCGTTTTGGCATTGCGAGCGCAATTGCTGACTAGGAACAGCAAACCACAGAGGCGCGTACAGAACTGCTCGGCCGTCGCCCACACAACACAGCCACCCCCGAAAATCCATACGCACAGCCTAATCTCTCTGCCCAACATTCGGCGTTCGCACCTTCCCAACCCTACAACCCCAACGCTCCCTACCGACCGAACCCCTATTCTGCTGGCGCTCCAGCGGGTGGCGACTACGACCGCGAGGGCCATGTGCTGAGGGAAAACACCTTTTTCAACAAGACGTCAGAGCAGTTGGATGAGTTCCTAGACAGAGGGCGGACGGTTCTCGGCGATCTGGGACAGCAGAGGGAAATGCTTAAAGGGACACAGAGGCGGCTATACACTGTTGCGAACACCCTGGGTATCAGTGGCGACACGATACGCATGGTTGAGAGGAGAGCGAAGCAAGACAAGTGGATATTTTGGGGTGGAGTTGTCGTCTTCTTTCTGTTCTGCTGGCTGGTCATTCACTATTTGAGGTGATGGCATAGCTCCAGTGATGGGATCGTGGGTAGGACGGTATTCTAGACGTTCAGGGGACATGATTTGATTTAGCGAGGCGCATGGAGCATAGTGTATAATCACAGGAGAGTGGGTGTGATGTTCTGCGCAACATAAGGATGTAGCAGTAAGTTTGTGAGGAACCTCATGCTACTTCTATGCCAACTAATCGTTCCAGGTACGAATCAGTAAATCTGATACAATCCGATAACAGAACAATGATCAAGCATGTGTGCACAGTTCGGCCACAACGTCGAATCGCTCGTCAAAGTCCATCTTCCCTGCCAACTATGAATCACCTGCGACCCGTCTTTCCCGGGAATACAAAGCAAGTCGCTACGCTACACCTGAGCGCCGTTGGTCGTACGAGGCAGGCAACCCTCTTGAAAGGCCATGAAACTCATCACGGTCTGCGGCCGTAGGTCACCGAGCGGCGGCATACAGCAACAAATTTACCCGAGCTTCACGACAAGCCGTCGAGCTTTTGACCAATATGATTGAGCTTAGAGTATATCCTTTCCTGCTGATACTGTAGCTTTCCGACATCATCACAATGTC